TCTAATTGTTTCCTCCCTTTGAGGTTGCCAGGGAATAGTTTTTGAGATGTTTTTTCCTCCTCTACCGTATTGTGCAACACCTGCTCCCTGCCCCAATTATCAAAATAAGGCCACAGCTCGGATTTTCGTGGCTTGTCCCACACCATGATCGGTATCCATCTTTGGGATTGCACGAATCCAGAGAACAATGGACGGTTGTGGGCCACACTAGGCCACACTCTACATGTATAAATAACCAACAGAGTCCAACTTAGCCATTCAAACTTTCCGGATTTCTGGACGCCTCTATCTTTCCCTTCCACCATCGTGACTCCCAGCTCCCTTCGACATCCCGCAGATCTTCAGATGCCTTACATCGACAATCTCGCTGCGGAAATACTCTGCGAAATATTCAATTCCGTCACAGACAGTGTAGATGATGGCATTATTAAAGACCCTACTGTCGGAGGTCGGAGTGGCGGCGCACAAGTTATGGGTGGCATCCCAACGCGGGGCGTGATTGCGCCCACATCTGACGCGTACAAGCTCCCAGAGCTCAAAACGACCATCCTCGCTGCGTTCGCCCTCTCTCACGTCTGTAAGACGTGGCGCAAGATCGTACTTGAACGACCTGCGATGTGGCAACGTGTCTGCATCAGCTACCGCCAACTACTCGGTTTGGGCAAGATGCTCAGGACTATACTCGTGCGGTCGCACCCCTATCCCCTCCATCTAGACGTGTCTCTGCTTGGTTGTGTGTGGCATCTCAGTGGAGAGGTCTATACAGCGGCTAGGCGCCAACTGGACGAGTTTATTATGCGCTGCGAGTCTGTGCGTGTCGAAGGAAACCACTTTGCCCTCGCTGCTCTCCTGAAGATCTTCGAACGGCACAATTTAAAGGCAAGAACAAAAGCTGGGATCAAATGGCTCCATGTCGTTGAGAACTTTCGTGACGCGAATACGAACATCCCTTCAGGTCCATTCCCACTCGATCGCATCGCTCCCCAACTCATCTGTCTGAATGCTCAATTCGCTGGAGCGTCTCGGTTTCCGTCGAACATGGATCGAATTATCTTTGAGGACCATCTCTTCAAACGAGAGGTATATTGGGACGCGTTTTCCATCTCGGGCGCAAAGCATATCGTACTTAGCAACGTCGGAATTCCGCGGCCATACCACAGGCTAGGAATAATGCTTGGGCCGCTGCCCCCAGGCTTTCCGGGTCACACGCCGTACGTTTCCCCAAGAGACAAGTACTTGGCAAGGACCGGCTCGACGCTCACTAGTATCACTTTCCATGCCTTGCATGACTATCGTCATGAGCGGGGTTGTACTATCAGGGCTGGCGATATCATGCAGCATGCAGCTGGGCAACTGTTTCAGGAAATCTTTCTCAAACGCGTCGCCGCAACTCTGAAAAAGTCCAGTTCGTGAACAT